ATAGAAGAGAATCTAAAAACAAAGGAATTAATACTCACTTTAAGGAATTGAAACAAAATAACATCCATAAAAAAGGCAGGAAGACAGAATTAATGCAGATAAATGGTAAAGCTAATGAATTTTTATATATCGATTTACTTAAAATAATGCATAGCCATTTTCAAATCACTTTTTATCCCATGTAAGTGAAACATCTACAGTTCCCCTAAACATCTAGAGAAATGGACTTCAATGTCAAACTTGAATTTGGATTCCAACTTATGGCTTTACTAGGTATTCACATTTTGAGTATTCAAATTTTTCTTTGTACAACTTTTAAAAACAGGCACTCTGAAACTTGAAACAGTTCTAGAACATGGTTTGTCCTCAAAATACCAATTTGGAGGGATTTTTTTTTTTTCAGTTTGCTATAAACACACAACCTACTCCAGAAGACCTGATGTTAAGTCAATATGTTTACCGACCCAAGATACAGATTTATAGAGAAGATATTGGGACTCTTCGCCAAAAGATTGAAGAGTATGGAAATTTTTATTTTTTTGTGTGTTTATTGGATGGGTTAATAATCAGTATCGTAAGGTTTTGATTAGAATAACACTGGCATAGAAAAACGTTGATGGCATTAACTGGCATTGTGACACAGCATATTTATAGGAGTTTCAGCTTTATAGTCAGACAGGTTAATCCTGGCAACAGCACTAGCCGTGTAACCTGATTTAAGTATTTTAAGGTTTATTTCAACATGTTGGAGCAAGTCGATACATTTAAATGAGAATTCTATTTGTAAGGGAAGGTTTTTTGATTCATAACATTCTTGAACTGTTCTACAAGTGTTGAAATAATAAGGCTAGTCACTATTTTTGAGTGAATTCTCTCTTATGTAGAAAAGAACTAGGAAGAATTAAGTATGCCTATAGATCTGAGTTGCTTTATTCAAGCTGACTACTGAACCCTATGCTAATTAACTTTTCTATATTTTTAGATTAAAGCTTTCTGCACTGAACCAAGATAAACTTTTGACTGATGTAAATAGGAACCTATGGGAAAAAATGAGACACTGCTCTGATGAGGAGGTATTTTGTTTCATTTTCTGAATGGGAATCAGTATAGACATTTTGAAAATTTTTTATTGTGAAATAGGTAACTGTTACTTGGTGATTAGTGATTAGTTCTTTAACTTACTTCTCAGGTATAATATGTTACCAAGGTCTTATTTAATAATACATGAGTAATTGTTAGGCTGTAATCTTTTCAAACCTGAAATGATCAATTTAATATGTGAAATACAGTTCAAATTTATTTAGAGTTCCCTCCTTGTTTGCCTTTCACTTAGATTTAGATCAAGAAAAGATTTAATTGATTAAATAATAAGAAACTCATTTTATATGTGCCCTGATATATTAAAAAGATTTTATTAACTAAGCCTATCATTTTCTAATTTGTAATATGTATAAGTGAATTAGAAGCAAGAATGAAAATTAAAATCTTTGGTTCTGTTCTTAAACTATTAAATGGGATTAAATTTGCAAATGAGGTGTCCTGCCTTATGAATCAAGAGTCTAGAAAGGATAAAGCTTAGCATATATCATCTGAATCAATCTTCTCAGACCATTTGCCTCATTTGTTTTAGAGTTAATATAGCCTTTGACTTTTCCTGACAGCTGAAGGCCTTTGGAATTTACCTGAACAAAATAAAATCACATTTTACCAAGATGACTAAAGTTTTCACTCACCAAGGAAAAGTGGCTCTCTACAGCAAGCTGGTGCAGTCAGCTCAGGTAATTTGAGACAGTTAATAGCACAGAAAGAAAGATCTATTAAAATTACTTTACGGTGGTTATGGAATATGAAGAATATTTCTTAGACATGTAAATGAGACTTGGGCAAAAACTTCAAATTATTCATGAGAGATGGGGTTCACTTTATCAAAAGTGGCAAATCCTGGCATCTTGAGTAATTCTAGAATGTATTTACTAATATAGGCCTATTTCTCATCTCAGATTTGTTATACGTTATACATATTGAAATAAAACAACATGGGATTCTGATCTTCCATTGCTAAGGAGTATACTGTAGTATTATCTTCCTCATAATCCATACCTAGCTGTGTATGTTTGTGTATAAGTTTAAAGTAGCATTTCCCCAAATGATTTTCCTTTAAGAAAGGTTCTGTATTTAAAAACTTTCTATTAGCAAATAAGTCTGGGACATGTTACATACAATATCCCCCTTTCGGAGAAGTATAATAGCATAGTAATGTCTAAAGTCAGAAATCTTCATTTTAAAAAAGCCTAAAAAAGAAAAAAATGCTGAAATTCTGTTTGACCAGTGTTTCCCATATTCATTTGACCATAGAACATTTTTTAAAGAACTCTTTTTTTAAAATAATATATATATTAGTATCTTATATTACATGGAAATGTTGGAATAAATGAAAGGATAAAAATGAGTTTATAGTAATCTGTTATATATGCTTTTAAAAAATTTTTAAGTCTAGACTGGAAACTTCAACCTTCATTTTAAGATCTGCCTATTCATGATTTAAACATAACAGTTATGTCAGCTATTTGAAACATTTATAATGTTATGTTTTGTTCAGAACTTTAACTTGACAGTCTATAATATTGTGTGTTTAGAATGAGAGGGAGAAACTTCAGATAAGGATAGATGAGATGGACAACATACTTAAGAAGATTGCTGACTGTCTCACTGATATGGAACTAGGTAAAGTATTTTGAATACTTTTCCAAAAGAAAATTTAATTTCATTTGTATTCTTCCCTATAGTACAAATTGCTTGTATCACTATGCTGAACCCTTGTATTAGCAAATTGAGACATTAAATTAGAGCAAATTAAAGCTTCTTTATCGTGATCCTCCATAACACAATAAGAGATGCCCAAGATAATAAGTCTCTTTGGAAAGCTTTTCATAACCTATACCATATTTTTTTTTATAGATGAACTTATCTCCATTTGACAATTAGCCTTTCAGTTTGACCTGGCATAATCCCAACTTGTTTAATATTGTTATCCTGAAACTTCTTTCTCAAAGATCACAGAATTCCACATAACCATCAAATTTGGTAGTTCTCAGTCCTTAGCCATCTTGACATCTTTCAGCATTCGACAATGCTGAAAGAAACTTGAATCTCCCTGCATCTCTATGATATTGCACTATCTTGATCCAATTTTTTTCTTCTGGTTGTTTCTTTTAGTTTCTCTGTTGGCCTTTCTCTAACTAACCCCCTGTGTAGAGATTTAGATTTTATCATCTACTCATTTCTAAATCCTCTCCCCTCATGGTTTCATCTGCCTTAACAAGTGTGTTTAAATGAATGATTCCCAAATTCACTTACATTCATCAGGCATTTGTTGAGCACCTACTGCATGCCAGATACTGTGCTTAACATGAGAAAAAATATATGTTAGACACAGATTTTGCCCTTAAATAGCTTATACTCATTTTGGATGAGGGCATCTTTAGCCTCTTTATCTTAAGTTTTGGACTTAACATTTCTAGCTCTCTGCAGAACCTCTCTGCAAACATGTCCTTAAGCACTTTAAACTCTGTGTGAATAAATGGAATTTATTGTCTTCTCCTGTTTCCAAAATAAAATATGAAAACTTGTTCTCCCTATGATGTTTCTTATCTCTATTAATGACATCACCATTCTCACATATTGTAAAAGGCCCAAAACTTTCATTGTCTTTGAGTCTCTCGTATCAAGTTCTGTCATATCTGCTTCTTCAGCATCTTTTATTCTTTCCCATTCAGGCAATTATTAATTCTGAAATGTGCTATTTCAACTCTTCTAACTTGACATTTTTCTATATTCTTCATTCTATATTCTTCCAGTCCAATCTGCACATTGCCATCAGATTAATAATTGTGAAGGACAGTATTTATTATGTTACTACCCTGAAAAACTTTTCTGTCTTTCCATTTATTACAAAATGAAGTCCAAGCTCCTGAACATGACATGTAACATTCTCTACAATCATTTTTAGATCTTTCTTACATGATTTACTATTTTACTCCCTTACACATTCTAAATTACAACCAAATCTTGTCATTTCTATGTAGTCCTGCCACTTTTTCTTTGCTAATAACATTCTTCTACCAAAAAAGGCTCTATCTCTCTTGAGCTCCCATGGCTATTTTGTTAGTACTTCTTATAGTACCTATCACATCTACTTACAATTAGAGTTACTTTTGTATAGTTTATTTTCCTAAGTAAATTTTGAGCTCTGTGGTAGCAAAGATTGGCTTTTTTCTCCATGTCCTTCAGAATTCTTAGCACTATGCCTTCCACAGAATAAGTGTATAGTACATGTTTTCTGCATTGACTTGATAATGAGTATATGAATTCTATAGTCTTAGATTGCCCCACCCATTTGTTTATTATCTTTCTATTTCATGGGAAAAAAATAGAAGCCATTAGGCCTGAACTTCTAAGCTTCCTGCTACCAAACAAACCAAACATTTATATATCTATATATCCATTCTTTCATCATCTCTTTCTTTTCCCTAAGACCAATTTTTCCACCTAAACTTTAAATTTCGTCTCCTCTTCTCTGCTCAGGAATTGTATATCACTGATTTTTCCCTTATCTCTGGTATATTCAACCTCTCTGCCTCTTCTGCTGGATAAATTGACCTCTCTCTCATCTTTAAAATAGCAACAACCACACTGTGTTCTCTAGGTACCACTATTAAATGGCTCCCTGTTTCTTTCTTGTTCCTTTATTATTCCTTGAGCAATAAATACTCACTGAGTGCCATGTACAGTGCTCTGTGCCAAGAATACTGTGGTGATTAAAAACAAAAACTATATGCCCTATGGAGCTTTTAGTTTAGAAGAGAATATGAGAATTAAATAATGTTATATAATAAGTGCTATGGAAGAGAAGTTACATGGTGCTCTAAGGTCCTGAAACAGAATTCTGACCTAGCTGAGTAGGAAAGGCTTCCCTCTGAGGAAGCAACAGTTCAGCTAAGATCCAAAGAATGAGTAGGAGTTAAAGTGAGAAGGGAGGGGAAAGCAGCCTATTTAAGATAGCTAACACATGCAGAAGCCATTCTGTGGGAAAGAATGTACCAAGAAGAAGGGTCTGAAATAAGACCAATGTGGCTAGAATAGAGCAAAAGGGAATATTGTCTAAGCCGTAACTGGAGAGGTCTAGGGGCTAGGCCAAAGACAGCCTTTTAAGTATTGTTTACTTTTTCTTGTAACAGTGAACAGCCATTTGAATGGTGTTAAGCACTGGCTGCAATGTAGAGATTGGATTTGAATAGATCAAGAGTAAGTGTAAGAAGTTCAGTAATTATTGGACTGGTGTGGTTAAGAAAGGGCAGTAGCTTATATTAAGGGAGGCTGGTGGTAGTGAAGAAAAAAAGTAGATTCAAAAAATATTTTTGAGGTAAAAATCTAAACTTGGATTGGATATGAGGAGAGTGGAATTTTAAGGATGACTCGAAGGTTTTAAAAACAAATTAAAAATTTTTAAATGTATGTGTATGCATTTATATATATGTATCTGTTCCTGCTTAGTCTACGGGGTTGCCTAATAATAACTTTGATATATGCAAATTTATATAAACAATTTCCGACTCAAAGTGGCTCCTGAGAGGCTATTAGGGATCATTACCATATGGCTCAAAGTTCAGTTGCCTACCTCTAGAAGCAGATTTTTGTATGAAATTATAATTATAGCTCGGTGCTTATTGGCAAGGAAAGGTGGGAGAAAGATGCATGTTTGTGAAATATTCTTAACAATTTATTTTGGGACCATCTATTCTTTTCATCTCCAGTGGTTTAATTATTTTTGACTGAGTTATTCTAATGCACATTTTCTACCTAGAAACTAAGAATTTGGAGGATAAAGAGAAAGACAGTTCTGTGGAAGAATGGGATTCTGAAATAAGAGCTGCAGAGAAAGGTAACCGAATTAATTAAGGAGATAAATAGAAAAAAAATCTGTTCTGAATTTGTTTATTTAGGTAAGATTGAGAGAATTTTCAATAAAACAGATGATTCTTATAGCATCATTTCTGTATGTCCATTCTGATTGATTTTTTTCCCCCCCAAAGAACTGGAACAGCTGAAAACTGAAGAAGAAGAGCTTCAAAGGTCAGCCTTCATTCTGAGTGTTAGAAAATATGCTAAACTTCACATGGCTAAATGACTTCCTGCCTTCAGGAACTAACAAGATTGGGGACATGAATATTGACTAAGGCTAACTCAGGACTTCTACATGAATATTGACTAAGGCTAACTCAGGACTTCTACTCTACTTTGACCTTGACCGTGGAGGCCATCTTAGTTGACAGTATTTTCTGTGCACTGTTGTTTTCAGGGCATTAAATCAAGGTAGTATTTCTCAAGCTTGAATAATATCAGGATCCTTTTAAAGAAAATAAACCTAGCATTAAACTATTCTTATATTGTACTTTTATGTTATACTTAAGTAAGTATAAGTAAGTATAAAATGGTGTATACTCACGGAGTCTTCGTTAACTTAATAAGACTAAAAGAAATAATAATGACAAAGCCAGTAAAATTTCAGTTGACAACATTAATTTGGCAGGTGACAGTGTTTGGCTGAAATTAAATTGATGCTAGCAAAATTACTAACAAAGCATAGTTTTATTTAGATCTAATAAACTAAACAAAACCAGAGGCAGATACCAAAATTATGGCATGTCTCACTTTTAAGGTGAGTATTCTCATGATCTGCATTATGCTTATATTTTTATCATCAAAATGAAAATGTAAATTTTAATAAAAATCTTAACGTATGAACCCCCAAGCATATCTTTATGGATCCTATTTTCAGAGCCCTTGATTTAGGCCATTCCTAATTGACCGCACTTCTAGATTAATGCTCATAAAAAAATAAAAAAACTGAAAATGCAAAAATGGACGCTATTCACCTCATTGGGGTGCATCTAGCATGTGACTTCTTGTCATAAATCTTCTATTTTAATAGAATCTGAATTCTCTAACAACAGACTTATCTTTTCTGTGAATACCTCATTTGATTTGCAGAAATCTCTTTGAACTGAAGGTACAGAAAGAACAGATTCTTGCTCAAATAGACTTAGTGCAAAAACAAACAAATAGAACTGAAGAGCTACTGGATAAGTCAAGGTAAGGAAAAGCAGGTGTCAGTAGTCTGTGTTTCATCCTGTGCCTCTGTGGTTATCTAAACCTACTAGAGCAGTTAACATGTATCTATAGCATGTATCATTGTTTTTAGCATGAAAGAGTCAATGTCCTTAACACTAAGTTGAAAGTATACAAGGTGGGAGAGCTATGGAATTATAATTTTAAAGTATTTAACACTTTATATTGCCCAGACTTGGTTTTTCTCTGTGTACAACTCAAGATTGAGTGAACTCTTTATTTCTTTCAAAAATGTAAGTTTGTACATTCATAATATTCGAATTAAAATATTGTCTCCCAATCCAGTAGAAAAACTCTTAGCAGCCACTGCTGGTACTGTTTTGGGTGGTATCCAAAGTTAACTCTCTCTTCTTATCTCAAAAAAGTGTGTTTTTTTGGGGGGGGCGGTTCTTATTTATCTCTCTCTAGCTTGTCTGAGTGGGATGTCATTGAATGGAGTGATGATCAAGCTGTATTCACCTTTCTTTATGACACAATAGAACTCATCATCACCTTTGGCGAGCCAGTAGGTGAGTAGCAAAAGTAAGATAATTCTTCTATAGAAAAATATATGGCTAAACTCAAATCTTTAATACAATAATAACTATTGACATAATGAAAGCACTGCTGAAAATCTTAGAACAGGCAATCACTAATTAGTGGGAATAGAATTTTATTTTTATTTTACTAGATAGAGTAAAAAATTCAGCTAGTTGAAAGTTGGCCTTTGCAAAATTAGACAATAGAAATTTTGCCTATCCAAATAGTGGATCAACATGCTATTCACATCTATTTACTCTGACTGCCTTTTTTCTATCTGTTGTTTGTGATAGAGGATTTACTGTAATGGCTGGTAACTCTTGACTGCTTTTTTGTACTTCAGTTAACCTAAAACATTTATTGGAAGTTTTGCATGTATTGTCGGGCTTATCAAAGTAGGTAGATATCACTATATGGTAACTGGAGAGAGTCCTAGCTATTTTGTTGGAGTCTCCTGTCAGTATCTTTAGGTCTTTTCTTTGAAACAGTTAGCTTCATTATAGCCAACTATGGGTAAATGTGGCCAAATTGGAACCTAGGATCTTTACAATCACCCAGCCTCCAAACATGATTCTCCTTAAAAGTTTCTTTTCTCAATGTATACTATCAACTTCCATCCAGGTCCAAAATTAAAGGTTAGGAATCACTCTAAACCTCTTTCTTCCTTACCAGGCATATCCAAATCATCAACAAGACTTATTGATTTTAATGTTCATCCACTTTTCTTGACCTCTTCTGTCAACAGTCATCTGTAACCTAAATGACTACAATAACATTCCAACCAGTCTTTCTGGATCTTTTCTTTTTCCTTTCCAGTTCATTCTCCTTCCTGTAGCTATAATGACTGTTGAAAATCTGATCATGCCCCTACTACTACTATTAGACTAATGATCAAAATATTTAATATAGCCTGTAAAGCCCTGCGTGAATTGCATTTTCTCTCTTTTCCTGCCTCATCTTACACTGTTCTCTGCATGTCAGCCACAGCAGCTTTCTTTTATTTTCTTAAAATATCATGGTCCTTCATTCTCAGTCATGCCATCTTAAGCAGGAGCCTTGGATCTTACATCAAGGAGGCCTTTCCACCAACACTCTTAGTCCATTCGGGCTGCTATAACAAAAATACCATAAACTAGGCAGCTTGTAGCAACAGAAATTTATTTGTCGCAGTTCTGGAGGTTGAAGTCCAAGATCAGGAAGCCAGCATGGTTAGGTGAAGGCCCTCTTTTGGGTTGCAGGCTTCTCATCGTATCCTCACATGATAGAAGGCCAAGCTTGCTCTCTGGAGTCTCTTTTATAAGAAGTCTCTACCGTCATGACCTAAGCACCTCCCAAAGGTCCCACTTCGTAATACCATCACATTGGACATTCGGATTTCAACATATGAATTTGGAGGAGACACAAATATTCAGATCATAGCACCCTGTCTTCACTAAATAAATTCCTACTGATTTCCTTAACAGCTCAGCTCATTTATCACTTTCTTGGGAAAGCTTTCCCTGACTCTAATTTTACCTATTCCCTCTGCTACTTGCCCTCCTGTTGTATGTTCTCATTGCTTCCTGCAGTTTTCCTTAATAGTGTTCATCACAGTTTGTAGTTCTTGATGTGTTTATTAGTGCAATTGTTTCTGTGTTCCCCTGAGCTATAAGGTTCTTGAGAGTGTAGATCGATCATGTCTGTTTGTCTCACTGTTCAAAAGAATCAGAATTTGAGGACAGTAGATAATGCTAGAGTCTGGAGGAAGAAGCAGCTATCCTGGCTACCTTAAACTCATTAATGTAATGCTAAAAACATAAATCATTTTTACTGTATTCGTCAAAGATAATAAGTGAGGGAGGTCATAGCCTTTTTCTTTATATGGTTCCTGAAATTAGTATTATCTTTGCACAGAAGTTAAGGGTCAAAGGACCCTTAACTATAAATGTACTACTCTTTAAATTTCCTTCAAAGGCCTGCCAATCAGTAAAGGCTCAGGGGAGCCTTTACTACAAAGAATAATATGATTCAAGGATGAACCTTCAACTGCCTGTGAAAAAACCCTGTTATCCAGAAAGAGCAGGACTCTAAAATACTGAGTTGTATGTGGCTTAAAATCAGATAATAAAAGGAAATACTGTTCTTATTCTCTTCTTCCTAGTTGGTCTCCCTTTCCTGAACAAGGCTTATAGGAAGATTGTTGACCTGAAATTTCAATCTCTGTTAGATGGTAAGTTCAAAACATTTAAGCAACTAAATTTTTTTTTTTTGAGAACTTTCACATACTAAGTTAAATATAAACAATGATAATAATAATTTGTCCTTACAAATGTATATTAAACATAAAACTGTTTAGATAATGTTCCAAATATTGGGTAGGTTTTTAAAGAAATGATTTATTTTTATTCTTATTATTAGATCTTGAGAAATGATTAATAATAATAGCTATTTCCATAATTTAAAAATTATGAGTACTTATTCTGTATCAGGCATGTGTATTACTTAACATCAACACTATGAGGTAGGTATTATTCCCCATTTTACAAATTAGGAAACTACAACTCAAAAAAATTAAGCATGGTGCTTAGGATCACTCAGGTAATAAGGAAAGCCAGGATTTAAATTCAGGTTAAGCCCATGCTCTTAATCAAGTTCTGTTCTGTATGTGATAAAGCCTTGAGTTTTCATAAGAATGTCTTACATTCACCATATATGTTGATTTATGTGTTTGAAAATAAAATGGAGAGGCTATTTAGACACCTAGTGGTTTGGAGGTATTTCTTTTTTTTTCCAACACCTATAGCACCTGGTATTCCTAGGTGGTCTCCCATCCAAGTACTAACCAGGCCCAACCCTGCTTAGCTTCCGAGATCAGGTGAGATTGGGCACGTTCAGGGTGGCATGGCAGTAGACAGTTTGGAGGTATTTCTAGTTTATGTAGTATTTCTAGCGTGTGTGTACACACACACACATACACACACACATATGAATAATAAGTAAAACCGTGCTCTTGGTTTTTTTTCTCTTCCTCAGAGGATAAAGCTCCTCCTTCCTCCCTTTTAGTTCATAAGCTTATTTTCCAGTACATTAAAGAGCAGGAGTCCTGGAAGAAGAAATGTACAACACAGCACCAGGTACCCAAGGTAAATTCTGATTGAAGTATATAAAGGAAAATTATGTTATCTGTCTCAAAAAGCAGAACTGACATTTTATATATATAATAGTGGATCCTGAAATGATAAATATGTTAAATTGTTTAACTTTGGGAGGGTTCTTTATAAAAGAGGCACTAAACACTGAAATGTTTTTATAATTTATTATTCTTTTATTTTTCTCAGATGCTTCAAGAACTCTCACTGGTAATAAGCCACTGCAGACTCCTTGGAGAAGAGATTGAGTTTTTAAAGAGATGGGGACCAAATTATAACCTAATGAACATAGATGTGAATAATACTGAGTAAGTATATTAGTTCCCTAGGGCTGCCATAACAGAGTGTACTACAAAATGGGCGGCTTAAACAACAGAAATTAATGTCTGACAGTTCTGGAGGCTAGAAGTCTGAGAACAAAGTATCAGTAGAGCTGGTTCCTGCTGGGGGCTGTGAAAGAGAATCTGTTGCATGCCTCTTTCCTAACTTCTGGTGATTTGCTGGCAATCTTTGGCATTTCTTGACTTGTAAACATATAACCCTAATATCTGCTTTTATCTTCACATGATGTTTTTTCTGTATGTATGTTTGTGTCCAAATGTCCCCATGTTATAAGGACACCAGTCATTTTGGATTAGGGGCCCACCATATTCCAGTAGGAACTCGTAACTAATTAAATCTGCAAGGACCCTGTTTCCAAATAAGGCCACATTCTGAGGTTCTGGGGGTTAGGGCTTCAACATGAGAATTTTGAAGAGACACAGTTCAAACATAACAGTAAGTAATCGGTTGAAAATGTATTAAAATAATTTATTTTATTTATGGGTTTCATAATAATATTTTGTTCCAGATGTTTTACCCTCTGTCCATTTGATAAGGACAAGAAACAATGTATACCTAAATTTCACATGCCAGTGTAAAAGGAAAATATATTTGTGTTTCATTGTATTTTTATTTTATATTTTTAATTGAGGATCTTGTCTTTTACAGATTGAAGCTTTTATTCTCCAGCTCTGCAGCATTTGCAAAGTTTGAGATAACTTTGTCTCTCTCAGTCCATTATCCATCTGTTCCGTTACTTTTCTCCATTCAAAATCACCTTGGAAACATTGGGTGAGTGAAGGGCCTGCAGGATAGGGCTTCCAACAACTTTTTTACTTTTGTTATGTCATTTGAAAGATACCTGTCTATGGCCATGCTACCCTGAACAAGCCCAATCCTGTCTGATCTCAGAAGCTAAGCAGGGTCGGGCCTGGTTAGTACTTGGATGGGAGACCACCTAGGAAGATCAGGTGCTGTAGGCGTAAAAAATAAAAAAAAATAAGGGATTTTAAGCTGACAAGGTCCTTGCAATCTGTGAAGTCAACCAAGGGTTGCCTCGACAAAAAAGAAAGAAAGAAAGATCCTTTAAAGTGGTCAGCAAATGAATAGACAATAGTGAAAGCCAAATGTTACTTGTCTCTGACTTCATTTTGAAGAATTGGTTCTTTTAAAGTCAGTGACCTTCATTACTATCTCCAGGGGATACTGGAGACCATTGGTCTGTTCTTTTATACTTGTACCACTTTTTGAACACTCAACTAAAACAGGAATCAAGAAGGAAAAATTCCTGCATAAACAGCCCAGGTCATATATGAACAACTTTTATGGCCTTAAAAACAGAATAATAATTTAAAAACTGTGCGGTCATAATGCTTTTGTCAATTAGTCTATGGAACCAGACCTAAAAATATTTCATTCCTACTATATATTTTGTGACTTTTTAGACACACTACTAACAGATTGTAAGATAGAGTTTAGAATGTGCCCACTTCAAATCTATCAGCAAACACCAACAGTTTAGATTTTTATAGCCAGAGAAAACAGTTAGGTCAAGATACCTCACAATTGCATACAGAATTGGTTCTTAGGCCTTGTTTTTAGAATATCAATTCAAACTGGATAGCCTAATTTAAGCATTTATTCCAGAAATGCTTATGTGTGCTCTCGGATTTTGTACAAAAACATGAATTCTACTTAAAGGCAGATAAGTGTGAGTTTCCAGGAAAAATAATCTTTTGTTCTTTTCAGCCGCGATGAAATTGCTGCCCTTCTATCTAAAGTGCCACTGGAGGACAACTACCTAAAAAATGTAGTCAAGCAAATTTACCAAGATCTGCTTCAGGGCTGCCATTTCGACCAGTGGACCCATGGACCACAGCTGTAACAACCAAGCACAGTACACTTAATAATGATGTTATGTCAGAGTCTCCACTGCTATTTAATCTTTGTCTTTAGTTCCTAGAAAGAAGCCTAGTAAAATGCCTTCTTATGATGTTATAGTTAATTTGTAGAGTTAGTTTTTTAATCTCTACAGTAACGAATAATGAAAGGCCTCAAATAGCCTGCTATCTACTTGCTCATCTTTCTCCTAAAAGTTTAGTAGAACACTGAGGGAAAATTTCTCTTAACTAAAGTGGTGCTTTCTGCTTTAGTACAAGCCCTAAGGAGTAACTAAAGTATAAGAGGTGGTATCACCACTGACAAAAACATAAGCCATTTCCCCACATATAGAGTTATGATATTCAGGTTGCCTGGCTTCTGCCTAGAAGATATTTCTGGAATACAGACATGTCCGTCTACAAACTACTCATGTTCCTTTTTCCCCATTCCAGAAATGTTATTAAGAGAAAGCAATAGCACTCAACTATTGGATTGGCTGCCTTCTTTTCTTGGGGGGCCTTGCCTCCTTTTATTATATGTTTATTAGTGTTCTTAATAA